TTATCTTTATAATAATAAAAAATAATAATATTTATTAAAATTCATTAGAAAAATAAAATTATTTCTCAATTGATATATTTATATGTAATGTAGTTATATATTGTAAGTTAGAAAAATTAGCATAATATAACACAAGTAAGTCGCACAAATAAGAAGTGTCTAATAAATATATAATAATATATTATATTCTTATGAAAGGTATTTAAATTTTCAAACTACTTTTTTTCTTATTAATTTTAGATTTTAAGAAAAAAATTAACAAGTACCCGTGTAATACACGGGTATTGTGCTAGTTAAAAAGAATAGAAAATCAAACTTCAGCTTGGCTTTAGCGACGACTGTAACCATGAAATAACTAAAACGATTTGGGGGAACTCTTTCCCATTTTGCAAATCCCCAAAACTTTTTTTTTTTTCCCAAATGATAGAAATATTACTCACAAACCAAAAAACGTTCAGTACAATAAGCCGAAGCTGATTGTACAATCAAATCAAATGATTTTTTCTTTATACTTTTCATCGTTTTATATAAACAGAGAGGCCCAAGGATCACTTCTGAATCCTCATAATTCTGGTCCTATAAAGTTATGGACTACAACTGATGAATAGCTTAGTTATTACTTTTTACAGTATTTTAGAAGTTGCTAAGCGCCCGACCAGGCGGGGCATAAAAATTAACATTAAATATTTTATTATTTATTTATTTTCACTAACTACAAAATAAAATTATCTCAACGTATAATAAATCAAGACCCCTAAGTACAAATAATAATATTAGTATATTATAAAAAAACATGATGATAAAATAATAAAATTACCGTATAAAATATAAAAATAAAAATTGAAATTTTTTCACAGAGTCCGCCTAGAGCACCTAGGGTACACCTAGTCGCCGCCGAGCCCACCAAGCCCAGCTAGGAACGCCTAAGTCCGCTTAGGCGCCGCCTAACTATCTGACCGATTTTTTCAGCCGATTTATGCAAATCAAAGGCGGCCGGGCAACCCTAACGCCTAGGTGCCACCTAGGCCGACTTTTAAAACAAAGCTTTTTGATGTGAAATCGAAGTGGTTACTGCTATCTTGAATCCCACACTACGGACAATGGCACAATGTGAGGGCCCATCTCTCAACCGTCACAATCTCAGTTCTTTCTTTGAACTGGAAAAAGATTTCTTACAGTAATCAGAAAGATGGCAGCATACTTTAACAACAAATTCCAACTTTGAGATGAATATCTACAAACACATACAGCACTAAATCCATACTTGACAACAAACATATTATCTACGTACACGAATCGCCTTCCCACACAAACCAAAGAAAAAAAATCAGAAATGCAACTGCCTGCACTGGCCCGCCTCGACCTCAGTAGGGCAGTACGGGCACTTAAACGGCCTGCTGCTATTGTTCTTCGACAGCTTTGTGATCGACTGTTTAGACAGCACGTGCCCGCACGACAAAAGCATGGGCGGATTGTCCTCACTCACCTGATCCCTACTCACCGGGCACACAAACACCAGCAACCTTCATCGTCTGCCACTCCTGCTTTCTCCCAGTCATCATCACGTTCATCAGCTTCAAGAGGGTTGGCAGTCCCTGGACCCCGGCTGCAACCGTCACGCTCAGCGGGCTCTCGTACGATTGCCCAATCAAATTACACAACTCCCGGGCCAGCTCGTCCAATAGCCTGTCCCAGTGCAAAGGGGATAGTAGCTCGGTGTAAGGGGACTGGTCGAGCCGTCCAGCCCACAAGAGGCAGGCCATGAGCTTCTGGACTTCCGACATGTGGGTGGAAGCAAATGGAGCCAGGAAGGCTCGGGCGTGCTTGAGGGCATCATCTCTCCCGTTTTTCTCCAGGATCTCGACAAGTTGGAGTCGATGGAGCTTCAGCTCTATGTCTGACCCGTTCTTGTTCAGCTGTTCGTGATTGGCCGCGGCCCAGGTTAGAGCCGGCATCAGGTTTCGGGACTTGATGGCGTCTAATATTGCGAACATTTCTAGAAAGGGAGATTTGTGGACTGCGGCGGCCTCGGGCTCTTCGGATTCCTCGACAAAACAGTCACCGAGGTCGAATTTACCTTCTCGGTGAAAGTGGCTAATGATTATCTGGTTGACGGTGTGGGTGTCGAAATCGATTTTACGGAACGCTTTTGAGATGTCGGGAATGAATGACTTCTCGAGGAGTTTTTGGTACTTGCTGAGGGCGATGTTGAGCTCCTTTAGGGTGCCCGCGAGCTGCTTTTGAGGGGCCAAGTCGTTCAGCTTGGCTTTTAGGGCATTGAGGATGGGCCTGTGATCTTCTTGCCCGGATGGTATTATCGATAGAGTGCGTTCGATTTCTGCCTCGACATGTTGGATCATTTCCTGAGATTTGGAGGACGAGAGCTTCTCTTTCTTTGTGACACGGTCGAAGGCATCTTTCACGGAATTCAGCTCCATTTTCTGAATAGTTGATTACTCCCCAATATGAGTCTACAATATGCTTTCTGAAATCTGAATATATCTTAAACCCTGTCATAGAGTACCAATTGTCATATAAATTAGTCACAAATATTATTTATATGTCATAAATAAATTAACCAAACCATGACATGAAAAATCATAAGTCCAAATCGGTTTATTCTGATGAATAGTGATGCTTTGCAACACACCATAGACATGTACGGAGCGTGCCATGAGTGATAAATGAAACTGTATAACACTCACTCATCCCCCAAAAGCTAGCATTAAGGAAGAGGGTGTCTAACCAGCACTTATACACAATAACCACCCGGACCTAATTGGACTGATTGGATATAGAATATCCGGACCAGATATTTTTTTAACTCAAATTTAACTTAACCTCTAACTCTCCTCAATATTATTAATATAATTCAATAATACCAATCAATCATTCTCACACATCACATCAACTTTAGTTCACTAACCATCCACTCACATAATTAATTACTCATCACTTCCAGTCACCTTTCGCATACTTTTACATCAATCAACTTTAATCATTATAATTTAAGTATTAATTTAATGAAACTAAAAATCTCAATCAAACCAAACCCAATCAACTTTTTCAAAATATCATTTTATCCACCAAATCCAAACCTAAAATAACTTATATTCAATCAAGCCTAACACTCACCCTCACAAACATAACCCTCTTGTGATTTTCACTCCCCTCAGCTGCTAAGTCTCCAAACAATAAAAATCTGGGTGCTACTGGACAGAACTCACCCCAAAACCTAGCTCAAAGGGTGAGGGTGCTCAACCCACACGTAAACACAAAAACAACCTAGTTACTAATATATATGGGACAAACTTCTTACATAGAAAAAATTCTTCAATTGTATCAATTTAAGAACAAATACGTGACGTTTAATCGTAGTAACTTTCAAAAGAAAACAACATTGAAAAACCACAACGGATCAACTAAGCAATAACTATGCATACCTATTTAGAAAATTGTTACTGGCACAAAGCATTTTGCTGAAACTTTGATCGCCTAAAAAAAGTCGGCTGTCATTGTAATGTCAGAAATCATTTTATGAAAAAACCATCACGTTGTATTTCTCATTATGCTCTGAATTAAGCTGTTGCGCAAATTATGTACTCGATCTTCACTTAAATGTGAAGACCCCATTGGAAGCAAGTTCAAAATAGATCAGGACACATGAAAGTATGACAAAAAGTCCAGTCCATTACTATGAGTTTGGCCACACTCCAAAAAAAAAAAAAAAAGAAGAAGGAATTCCGGGCTGCACGCGATAAGCGAGATGCTTTTGTGACGAAATTTCTTACAGATACAGAAACAGAAAATCATCAAGATTTCAACATTTATCTATCTTAGCAGCGTTGAATGAGAAGACAGAATTTAACTAGAAGAAATGAAAACATAATGATATGAGCTTACATAGCTAACAATTTGCGCAACTAAACTGCTGTATAGACAAAAATATAAGAAAAATCACACTATGATTTTGTTTTCACTGCATTGACAAATGACGAGAAACTAATACAAGGTGATTTTCACACAGAAACCACAACACAATTTGGGAAAATCAACGTTACAATAAGCGTTTTCAGATCGGAGAAACAAAATAACAAGGCAGTTGCTTGAGTATATTTAATGGATATAATAAGAAAAAGGCAGCTAAAGAGGATTTGTTTGTTGTGTTTTTGTCCTTATTTTATTGTGTTTTATGTGTTTTATTTTGTGG